AGTTTAGGTTGCAATGCTCCTGGTTTCCGGAGTCAAGAGTATTTTAGTAATTGAAAAAGTGCAGTTTAGAGCGAATTTCAGGTTTTGCCTTGTGTTGTTCACAGTGTGAGCACGATTAGATGATAAACGCAGTCGGATTTCTTTCGTATGGGAAGGTTGGACATATTGGTCTTCGTGACTGGTTTCCTCTGAAGGGTGTTCCACAACAGATGGTGTTGCTACCTCGCTTCGTGGCATCATTGCAGACCTGTGTTTGCATACGCCGACGCTGTACGCTTACCGTGCAAATGGCTTTGTTAGAAGTGACACGGATGGGCACAGATGGACCCTGCACTACATTATACGAACGGGTCTATTTTCACCCCGTTATTCTACCAGGACTTCGTGTGAAAGGACATCGTCTTGACCTGAGATCACGCCTGAAACCCAACTGACTGTGCAGCGAAAAGCCGTGGACGAGTATTCCAAAGCTTGTCTCACATTCAACCACAGAAATCATTCTGACGCTGCCAAGGTCTGGCGCCACATCTACCTCCAGAACCAGTTTCAATGGCAAACCAGAAAATGCCGGAAACCTCCCTTTCTGAATCATCCTGTCTCACTAGTTTCTGAAATAGCATCACATTCAAAGTTTAAAGGTCACATCGTTTATGTTCATTCGTAACTTCCAGGCCCTCTTATAAGCTGATGGACCTCACACAACTCCTCCGTCATCTGCTTCATGTGTATGCTGGTTTGATTGTTCCATAAGTTTGCTCAATGTACTGACACATTGCTTTGGTTGCCATCACTAGATGTACCCCGGAACCGTCTGAAAGACTACCGTTTGCTATTACTCGTTGTATTTTGGTACTAATATTCTACAAGAACTGGCATCTTTTGGGACCGGACTTTGCACTGTTGGTGATGTCCATAACAGGTATATGCACTAATAACAGTCTTTACTGTGGTTGGCAGTAGTTTGCAGAAGCGATCTGCAGCATGGTGAAAGTCCGGACGGCGGGAACGTGTTTTCTCCGCTTGTATGCCTATTTATTGTGTGCAGAGAGGGGTGTTCCTCCGTGTTTGATGCTTGCACGAACATGAATACAGCCTGACCTGATGTGTTGAAGTTCATAAGCGTTCATGGTGCATGACGCAAGTGGTAGCCGCGTGAACAAAAATGGATGAGAAGTTGTAGTGTACAGGTTGTCGGCTCAGGTTGCGAGTGGGATAGGAACTGTCACGCGGTGTGAGTGTTTGTGACGCGTGATCTTACGCGTGATACGTGACCTCAACAGACCTCATGTTGAATTCTTGGTCTATGTGAACAAAGGTTGTCAGTACTATAATACCGCCGTGGAACCAAGTCTGATCGTGGCTCCCAAAGCCAACCAAACAACGAGAGCCTGATACAGTTTGGTTTCTATCCCGTGGTATACGGCATAAGTCTCGATGATCTGATTTTCAAACATCAGATGCTGACGAACCGCAATCACCCACGCTGTTCATCGGTTCCTCTTAGAAACTTCACAATCATTGAGGTAAAGGCCTGAAACTTTCCATCCAAAATAACTGCTTAAGCTGGTGATGACAGTTCCACCTACTCCGTAACTGTCGAGTGCAACTCTCCAACGCCACCTCAGCCTAAACGTGGACTAGACGCTCCCCCTCCCCCAAAAGAGCTAAACTATACAATCCACCGATTCTCCTACCATGACACACGAGCCCTGCCAATACCGACTGATCCTCAAACCGTTTACGCGAAAAGCATGAGCTCATTGTCCATGCTAGTCCAAGCGATCAAAGGAATTTGATAGAACTGCCTGAATCTGTGTGAATTTGCTTCCAAATTCTTCCACCGAAAAAGATATCGTTTTGGCACAACATACTTTCTACCATTTATATGTGCATACGAAAAACCTCACCCAAAAATGTTGCTCAATTTTTCGGCATGGGGTGTGGTTTTTCTTTCGCGGGTCGCCTAGGTATTTATGGCAGTACACTTTGGGCTACTTGGCATATGTGTGGATCAATAAGTGGGCGGGGAGACGTCACCATGACTACCAGTAAACAACAAGGCGGACGCTGTCCATGCTCAAGCACATATAAACCGGGACTCTGGGACAAGTTTTGAAGAAGGTGACGTTATTACAGCTGAGTGATTGGTCATTTTTTTTCTAACCCGACGTCAATAGCGTCTCCAACGGAAAATGATGAGACCATACAACGTACTGTCTGTGTGGAGGCACGAATGTCTTCGCGTTCATTAGGTTGGATACCCCAATGTAGAGCTTTTTGGCCCCTCGTAGGTCCGTATCATGAGAACGTTCATTTCACAGGGCAGGTTATTTCACCAGCAAAGAACTGAAAGCGCAACATCCAGCAGCATCATATTCAAGGATGTCTTTTTAATGCGTTTGATAATTGGTACCGGGCATTTTTACACAGATTGATGATTTTCAATAGTAGCAATCCAATGGTCAATGTCCCTTAAATAAGGAGTACCTCATTCCATCTCGAGCTACCCCCTAATTGTGGCATCCTTATTGGCTGGTAATGCAGTTAGGTCCTTTAAACGAAAGATATGCTAATGACGAAGCCATAGAAGCATCTTCGCTTGGTTACCATCTGGTGTAAACCTTCCTTACCCCAGGAGAAGCCACCCCATAGGAAGGGCAAAATGCTAATTTTCCCGCCATCCGGGGCTTTCTTTAGGCGATACAGCAGAATTATGAATCAACTGCTGAAGAGTTTGTATTGGTTGCTCACATACGTAGAAAGTTAAAAACAGGGGAGTGAGAACAAATGAGCAGATTGAGAAACTGGACAATTTCAGAGGACCAAGCAAAGAACGTTTTTGATTGTTCTGGATATTTTAGGAATCACCGTTCAACGAAGCGAACAATGTGCGAACAAAGTCACATAGGATAACAGGCTCGTGGAGGGATTTTACCTGTAAAATACGAATGAAGGTCGCTACGGGCAGCTACCAGTCCACGATTTTTGGTGTTTCATTGATACATTCCCTTATGCAAATGACACATACAGACTTAATAACATCCTCTTTTACCTGGCATCAAAAGGAGACTATAAGTGTCGCAACAGTATTGTAAACCCTTGCTACCAACAGGCATACGGGCCTCACCTGTGAAGGTTTGACTTACACCAAACCCAGACGAAAATTGATTGATGCATTGTCAGGGCTATGTGACTTCCGTAAGTCCTAGTGGACTTCTTGTGCACCTAATCTGGTGTTAATCAATACTGAACTGAAAGATGACTTTCCTTCAGCTCTGTTTCATACTCTCATTGTGGATGCAAGTTGTCCTTGATTGACTGAAAAAGGACACGGAGGTCAGGCTCTAGAGCGACAACTTGCATGCGAGACGTTACTTAGGTTGTTGTCAAGGTGAGACTGTAAACGACGGTTTGTCTGGAGAACGATGCGTTGTAGGTCGCAGCTAATTTGCCGCACACAGAATGAACCTAAGGGTTCACAATGTTGCAAATTTCCGTGTCACAAAGGATGTGACTAACCCGTTGACGATCCAGCCAGCGAAATGAGTTACTTCGCTGTAAAGGTGTTAGTGAGCGAACAGGTATTTTTTCTATCAATCAGTCAGCTAAGAGAGGGAGGGGTATTATTTAAGTGATTCCATGTAAACACTTTCTGAATGATCGATTCATTCGGTTAAAGACAACTGCTCACATAAAAAACTGATATTCGTGCAGCTGGCCCAGGCAAGTGCTCCCTGATATGTGTTCACTGGGTTGTTTATCGGCGAGGGATAATTTCATGAATTGTAGCAAACGCTAGTGCTTAACTTCTATGCACTATGTTAAATGATTGCTTCTAAGGTATAGAAATGTTCCCCATGCTGCGGCAGAATGTCACGATTATGCTGGGCCAAAGAAGTGTACAAAGAAAGCTGCCAGTAGGTCACGGTAGAGCAAAGACAGATGAAATCTACTCGTGTCGTGGTCAGAGAGTGAGAACCCGATAAAAGGCGCCAACTGACGGGTGACATCAGTGACCATATTCGGCTATGGCATACTGTCTTTCCGTTGCCACGAAAATTAATCCATCAAAAAGATTTTATTCAGTGTGAGATAGCTCAGAGGTTAGGGCACCAGCTTACGAACCGGAACGTCCATGGCTCGAACTCAACCTCAGCATCTCGCCTGATGCTGCCTAGGCTTGGTTAACCTGGCAGTATCCCAGTCCTCGTGCCCCCGTTCGCTGGCACGGCAGCTAGTCACCAAAAGGGTGCTAAAACTGAACGATTTGATTTTTCTGGGTATCCTCAAGACCCCTGAGAAATATTCACGAATTAGGGAGATCAACAATGGCTTCAAATAAATATTGATATTTTCAGGATTTACAGTCGTTTGCAGCGGAGGTTTTGTGAAAATCACTCCGACATACCTGGTCAATTCTATGCGGGATAACACATGCTTTGCGGCAATCGGCTGGTCTTACTGGACCTCAGGCGATCTACTCTGTTAGATTTCTCAAGCTGGGACAATCTCTGAGAATGGTTTCCTAATGGGACGCAAACATTTTTCTGTGTACGTGTTCCGACACATGACCTTTCGTAGTGGGCATAACCGCCTCCTTAGGTCCTAGAACGTCGGTGTTCCCAACCACCCAGTTCCAGCTCCGAAAAAAGTACTGAGGATTCAATCATTGTGACTCTGGCTTTTTCATCCTCTTCTGTTTTCCGTTTGACACTTGATGTTGATCAGCTGCGAACCATGCAACCTCTGTCCTCAGTCAGAATTTAACAATCAGGGCACAAACCCTCCAAAATTTGCCACATTTCTACAAGTCAGTTGAAACGACTTGAGCAAATGAGAAATAAAGAAACTTTGGGAGAAAATTTAAGAATTGGAGGCACCACAGTGTCTCACTCAACTCATCTACGCTCGTGTTCACCGGAGACATATTAGCTCCGTCCTACCATATCATTTTCTGACCTGGCAAAGTTAAAACTGAGAACAACATAGCGCAGCCATAATAGCCAACGACCATAAGCAGGAAAAATGTTGGTTCCAAGCCTAATTCTAGTTATTTGATAGCATGACTTTTTAATATGTAAATGGGTGACAGGTATGGTGTTGATCATTCGTAAGAAGTGTTCTTGAACTGTATGCAAACCATACATCATACAAACATATAGCATACACCACCATTCCTGGCTGGAAGCAAACTAAACTGGTCTTCTAGGTTGTTTTATACATCCCCACGGTGTTCTTATCATTCTCTGAGAAGTTTTTCTCCTTTTGAAATATGCCGACGGACACCTCTGCGCGATGCCACATACGTTTTGCGCTGAGAAGCGCAAACATCTATCTGAACACCTTGTACCCAGTTTAAACCCGAAGGGATAGGACTGGAGGGTGATCTGGGAAGGGAAAAGCTATGCAAAAAAAGATCGTAGTAAGTGAAGTACGAAAATCTCGGTCTTATGAATCGACTCCCATTAGAATTGGCTGAAGAAAGCGTTCGATACCCGTTCGAAATCCCGCGTTCAGTCGACACATGTAAGTAATAAACTGCAGCTTTCAATGCAGCTGGAAATAGCTGTGGTTAGACGGGTCCCAAAACTTTCCTTGGTCAGTTCAGTCGGGCTAACAACCCGTGAAGAACGACGGGCAATTCCAGATTCACTATATCAAAAGCAGTTGCTCCTCTATTCTCCAAGCAGTCAGAAGCGGACAGTAGTATTACGCGATGGCAAAACAGTAATTCGTTTTTAAGGTATTTTTGACAGAAGCTAGAGTCTCTCGTCTACAGTGAGGTTTTGCTGGGTACAATACAAAACAAAAGCAATAAAGTTTCCTATTGATTCGCCTTGAAGTATTGTCTTCAAAGTATGAAGTTGTTACTGGAATGACTACTGAGCCCGTGTGGCTTTATCGAATATACATTTTGTAATAGTCTGCTTTATTTGGTGTACAGGTGAGTTCATTTATCAGTCGGCCTTCCTCGTCAAAAAGGTATTGAACGGCCATTGACTTTTATGTACCACCACTCACTCCTCAGGTATCAGTATAAGAATATGCAGACAAACTCCAGAGGATGACATTTGCGGTATTTGTTAACTATGTAGCCAAATTAATGGGGCGGTTTCTCCTACATTTGCATTTCTTATATGCATAAGTATGTTGACGTCTGTTTACTTAGTAAAGGTGAGTTTACTGTCAGTGACGATGTTGGTGGGGATGACGATGATGTGGGTTTTGTTGTTGCCGCCGCTGCATTCGATGGCGATGTAATACATTAGGGTTGAAAACCGATGACTCTCCATTTGTGTGGCCTACTAAAAGCACGCTGTCTGACGAAATTTCCAATCAAATCACCTTTTCGATTTTCAGAAACAGATCTTATTAAGGTACCATCGGAAACGTCAGACTAGATTCAGTAAATTTGTAATGCACTTCTCATAAGGTTGCTGAAAATTCTTCAACAGCCCACGACTGTTTTTGCCCTTCTTGAGGCACATCATGTAGGCGCAGTCCCCGAGTTTCCGGAGACTTTATGTTCTACTTGAAACCAAATTGCACAAAGTTAGCGAAATACACTCGTTAGCAAACAAATTTGGCTTTGCGAGAGACTCACCTGGAACCCAGCTGCATCTCTTGTTTGTGATGTGTCCAGGCAACTGAATGTGCTGCACCAGACCGCCTCATGTTTCAGTTGCTACGATATTCGAGATATCGCGATACATGTATATTCGTAATACACTACTCATAAAGTTGCTGAAACATGAGGCGGTCTGATGCAGCACATTCAGTTGCCTGGAAACATCAAAGACGAGAGATTCAGCTGGGTTACAGGTGGGTCTCTCGCGAAACCAAATTTTTTTGCAAATACGTGTATTTCACCGATTCAAAAATCTTTTTCTTTGGACATTTGAGAGCATGTACTTTTGAGAAGGCACTGTGTTAACCCGTTACATTCACCATCGTCTCTCCCCTAACTGTGGCAAAGAGTTCGCTCTAATAAAAACAAGTAGAATGCTGCTTTACTTTCGTCAACAGATGTGGTTAACTTCCGTACGTCTTGCTTCTCATAGTTTTTTTATTGAAGGACATCTTATATAGCAGTTTGATACAGTACTGCATTTTTATAAGATGTTTTGCATAGCGTAGACCCACAATGTGATTGCCTGATAAGGTCAGACAACTAATTTCCATACAAATGTTCCACTGCCACCTACAACACAGGACTTTGGAGACCGCATGTGTGTCCCTTAAACTAGACCAAGTCCTGGGAGAAAACGACCGGGAAGCCACTTATGGATAATGCGGATCATTTGCCAGCTAAGGCGACGGCCATAAGCCGATAAGCGTAAAATTGTTGAAATCGTCTTCTGATATGTTGCTTTGGTGACAATATCAGCGATGAAGGTTACACGCCATTTCGTTAAGCTGCTTCGTGAAAAACCTAGTTTACCTATCCCATTCGCCTTATACTTGTTCAACAATTTCATCCTACGGAATTGTGCAGCAAGCAACGTCATATTTTTCAAGGGCTCTGATTATCCCCAGTTGTCTAAACTAAAGAAGAAGTTTAGGGGCAATTCAGGTTCATTAGTGAGTGAGATAAAGTGAGGACTCGAACCATGCTTGGGCCATAGATATCAGACATGGTATACTAAGGTATTTACATTCATACATACATGGTATAAACACTATGACAGATGCGGTCGAATTTTATGATGATAAAGAGGCTATTTTCCGTTACTAAAGAATGTATGGCAGCTTTAAGAACGTCTGTTACTGAAGTGTACTTAGCTACTGAGGACTGCTCACCTACCTAAAGATTGTTCGTTTCTGTCACTCATGTGAACCTGGAAACCTAACTGCCCCAATGAAGAATTCTGATGAATATTTTGATATCGTATCATCAAGAAAAGTTTTAAAGGAGGATGAGTGGCACCATGTCCTATCCAAGTGTGAGTTAATAACATCGCGGACTAGCCGTTCGTGTTCAGAAGGTTGAGTATTCAAACTTCTAACCGAAAAGTCGCGGGTTCGAACCTCGCTACCCCAACGACATGGGTGTTTTCGACTCTCTTGGGAGTGACCCTTCTTTGAAGGTGATGACTTTGCACCATTATAAGTGTACCAGATAGATGAAAACTGCTAAGTCCTAAGGAGATAATTTTTTAGCAAATCATCTTTAGTGCTGCACTGAGCTTTCCTCATCTCATCTTCGTCATTCATTGTGGTTTCTGCTTTGTGGAAAACTTCTCGACTCCCTCAAGGGGCATGTCTAACATCAGTCGCAGCATGTTTGTTACTGCCACGACTTTTCGAAGGAAATATCAGTAGTATTTTGAGCCACGCACAATTTTTCTGGTGATTTGCAACCGTAATCTAAAATGGTTGTCCAACGGTGTTAGAAACCTTCCCTATCTTCGAACGTCACATTAAAGGTGACTGTCAGTTGAGAGCTAATTTCTTTCTTTGGTTAGGATGACTTAAAGATTAGATTCACAACCATGTTTTCAACGAAGATTTCATCCAGTAAATGGAGCCAGTATATCATATGTGGAAATAATCAGCGGTTTGCAATTCACGAAACCTCAGGGAATTTCGAACCCGCGACCTCCCAACTGGTAGTGTGAACGCTGAACAGTTTGATCACGAGCTGGCGTCTATCAGTGTGATTGATTCTCACTTTGACAGAATATAACGGCACTCAACTTTCCACAAAAGAATCCGCATCATGTGCTCACATACCTGTTGACTGGCTGTTCGAGTGATAACTTCTCAGATGGAAGTGTTAAAATTCCTCTAAGCTACTCATTCCCGAATCCCCTCAAATGAACAACAATGACATGTTTTGCAATAAATGGCCCTTCTTTCCAGAAATAGCATCTGAGGTAGACGTGCCTAACTACATTCATGTCAAATGGACGCAGGCATTGTTCAATGCGGATTGCAACCACAATTGTGGCCAACAAGCGTCAGAGTCATTTTGGCCTAATTTCGTTCCCTACAAGGTGAAGATATTGATTATAGGTAGAGTTCCAACAGCGTCATTCAGGCTTTGAACAACTAGAAACATGCATATACGTTGGTCTACACTTCAGAAACGACACTGTCTAGAAATGCATTGAAAAATGTAGGTTTTTTCTTGTTTTAGAGCGATGCTCTAGAGTTGAAGTTACTAAGAGTAAGTATACTGGTAAAGCTTGTAAAACGTAGAATTACTTTTCTAGTCGTGGGATTATTATAGAAATCTTGACAGGAATGACTGCTATGCACTTTTGAAGGAGCGTCTATTTTTATAGAGGTCACTCATAAAGTGGTTGCTGGCTACCAGCAGCACTTGGTTGAAAACGAAAATATGAGAACAAGTCGTTTGTATGGCACAATGAGCAGCTACTACAACTCAGGGCTGCGCTTCATTTTATTAGTTTATTTCTATCTACTGAGAATTACTGATGAAAACTGTGGGAACAAGTATATGCATTGACCGCGGGTAGTAGGGGCCTAGGATGTTGTTACACTTCATGCCGAAAAATACGGCAAGACTCACTTGAAGACACGTTCTTGGAGCTGAAGGAAGCTCGACTGGGAGCAAAGTCGTGCCACCATACATGATCATACCCCATATAAAATTAATCCCTATCAGCAAAGTTGTGGACGCAGCATAGTCAGTCACAAACAATCGTAAAATTTGCAGAAGACCACCGAGGGAAGATTCAGACTTTTCACTTTCGTCAATTCCATGTAAACGACCGACAAAGCTATAGGGTTCAGCTGGTATTCCAGATTCTTGATTGGGTTGTTTCGGGATACGGTTGTTTACGCGTGCAACAGCATCTAAAACTTGCGCAGCTTCAATCCGCCTACCCCAATGTGCTAGTAAGACGGGGGATTCGTGTACACAACACCATAATCCAAATGCACATAACAGTAACGGAGGAGTGGTAAATACGAGAAAAAAACGCCAACTCAGATTGTTGACGAGGCATCCAAAGCCAACACCTGTCACATATAATGCTATAAGCGAATCAAACGAACAGACGAGCAGCTGTCCGGTGGATTGATATGTTTCTGGTAGAAATTCGGATATCATTGAGTTTCCTGCAGTTAAAAGTCCACTGATATAGAATCCTGAAATAAATCGAAGAGCTGCAAGCCATGTGTATGTCGGAGTTATTGCACACAACCAAGTCATATACGTTAAAGCCAAGCAGCATAATATCGCCAGTGATTTACGACCTAGTTGATCCGATGCATAGCCGAGGGGTGGTGAACCAATACACACTCCGAGGAAAACCATCGTGGCTAGAAGCGCAACGTAGTCTGAATCCAGTCTCCATTCACATCGCAGTGTTGGTCCGAGTATTGCTTGAATAAGGGCTTCCATGGTATCCGTTGCCTGTGCGATTCCGAGGATGACAATGATCCTCACTTGATACCATCCGAAACCAAGTTGATCTAACACGGCCTGAACAACACCTTGATGAGGCCTTTTTTTGCCAGACATTGCAAAAAAATAATTCAATTTGCTGCCTCCCGTTACCGATAGGCGCTATATTCTGGCGAGCATCGATACGGCGACTCAGCCTGATCTACAGTCGCAAAAATCCACACCCACACATGCAACATCCAATAGAATTCACAGGAATCGTGTTAGACAAGTTAGGACCAGCAATAATTGCTGCACACACAGCATTGGGCAGTACATCGAAAATACAGCTTATTTCAAGGAGGAAGCTCAGAGAACAGGACCTCCGCGGAAACCTCGAAGGGAAATTCGCCAGAACTTTTAAAACCGCGCTGTATGGATTGTAACTTCACCTGAGAAGAATGCAGGTAGAAAACCAACATTTACCGGCTCATCACCTTATGACAGATTTTGAGTGAAGGACGAGGCCACTAGTGTGAAAAACTACTACGAGTCTCCTGTTTACTACTACGATTAATTCTAGTACTTAATTCAATATCCGGTGCATTCATTCTGAGCTCGAAATTAGCGCACTCAAAACAAATAAACACTGGTGCTGCAAGTGTATTCATTCAAACCTACTTACTTCTAATTGAGGCCTCATCTCTCTTCAAAATCTAATAGTTACAAAATACTTCGAAAAATGTCTCCATCTTGTTTGTATGCATCAACGCTCTCTAGTGGCGCGCTGCACTAAATGGCGGTGAGATGGTTTCAGCGCCGCGTTTAGTTCTCTATATTGGTTTGGCGGGATTGCTGCATGCGGCTTACTCTGCAACTCAGCGTGAGCAATATTTGATTTTTAAAGTTCATGCCGTACACTTTCAGACCGCTCCTATCTCCGTTTGACTGAACAGGAATTCGTTTCTCTGCCAGCCGATGTTTGTGGCCTTGTTGTCTGCGTCTAAACTAACACTTAATCTAGATAATTGTACAAACCTTAATTTCCTTCGTGGTCGTTTGCGTTGGAGTGATCGGCGTTTCGGGTCCGCTAAAGGAGATCGAAGCTGCAGCTGAATTCAAGGACAAGTACGTGTTGCATTTATCTCAGACACATCCTCCCTAGATCTTGGGACTGTCTAAAAAATCGGCCATCCTTTCAAACATTTCAAAACCGAAACTTGACTCTCAGCGCCTTCAGGACCAACCACTGACGTATTATGGTTTTGGGTTCAATTTCAGCCCGAGGTCATACTGATTCGGTGGCGACTTTGACGTTGAATGACCGTATTTTAGCTTCTGGTGGTGATGATGGCAACGTCTACTTTTGGTGCTTAGATCAATCCTCTTTTCCAGTCCAGCATATTCCTCGGCGCAGCCCTTGTTCCGCCGTGAAGTTTGATTTGGATAAATCGGATGTTTTGTACAGTGCACATGGTAACCGGATTTACACATGGGATTTACGTTATCTGTGTGAACCTTTGTCCGAATGGAAGGTAAAAATCATGGTTTCTATGTCCACTCTTAGGTCAACGAAGATGAGGTCAACTACATAGACGTTCTGAAGGGTGAGTCTCGACTTGCCGCAGCTGATGATTCGGGTGCCGTTCAAATTTTCGACACGTCCAGTGGTGAAGTTGTGCGAACTCTTAAGAAGCACGACAACATATGTTCGGTGGCCAAATTCCGCCCAATGCGAAGCTGGCAGCTAATAAGCGGTGGACTTGACTGTCGTGTGATTGTTTCAGACTGGAAGGGAACTGGTCGCAGTGTGATTATTTTCGAATTGGACGAAATTATCAACTCAGATTTGTTTGAGGATCCACAGCCTGTTCCTACCCATTCCAATGAATTTGCCAACCGTGCCTCCTCCGAATCCCAGGCTAGCACCAGTGAGTATGCAGAAGTTGAGTTCGATGAATTCGTGGAGACGGATGAAGAAGCAGACGATCCTGATGAAGGGGAGTTGGCTACGACGCATCCGTTATCTTCTGGACACGTAGATTCGTTGTCTGTTCGCAGTCGTGGTGGCGACTCTGCTTCTGGTGATCCACACGTGTCTGAGTTCGAAAGAGGTCATTCAGATACAAACATATCTGAGCTATTAAACTGGCAGCTCAGTGAACAGGTTGGTTTCAAGGAAATTCTTTTTATCCACTGGGTTCGCATTCCTGTCTGTGTTCAACCTTAAGTGCTTTTTTATTCCTTTTCCACTATGGAATACTTTGTCTCTTCCAATTTCGTGTTAGGTGAAATAGGACAAGGAGCTTGAACAGGGTTAGTCGGTTAGAAACATCCAAATACTATCAAAAATTGTGCACATCCGTGGCCTCTGAAGAACATGGGCTCATCTTTGCCGTGCTGCCAGATTTGCTGGCAACCACTGCAAGTGCTTCCCGTAGGAGACAAATTGCTGAGCCTTAACCATAGATGAAGCTCTTGACGGTATCAAGGTTTCCAGGTGTAAAGTCTTCGCCCAAAATATCTTAATACTAATATTTAGGACGTAGACACAAGTGCCCGAGATGAGGACCGTCCCTACCTAAAGTCGGAACTCGAGAGAGCTCTGTTAGTGCGCGGCATACTGAATGAAGGGTTCGTGGTTCGTACTCAACCTCTACATCTCAAATGCCCCTGTCTGGGCTTAGGCGACTTGGTATTATACCAGACCTGATACCTCAATTGGGTGGCCCGACAGCTTGGTACCGAAAGGGTGTTACATTTGAACGATGAAGTCATTTTACAGACGGTTTGTACACCCTGGTCCATTGAGCTGTATTGAAAGGCTTCAGTTTTACGCCTGGACGCAAGTACTATACTTAAACTGATTTCCCCGTAACTCTTCCAGCCTTCGGCCGCATGTCTCTGATATCGGCGAGACCGCTGTGGCTGGATATGCCGGTCTACTATCGTGTTTGGCCAACAAACAGAAGCATCGACACTTGACTGGATATCCACTGGCTGTCACCCTGTATGATTCATTTGAATCTTGGGACAATTATGTCCATCGTCTTCGTTCATCGGGATTACTTATAGCCCAACAGGGTGTATCTCATAATCTTTGAAAGTTACCGTGAAGCTCTAGGTGTTTTTTTACACCTTACCAGCAGCTCACATTGTTGTGGTCGTTAGCAACGTGGCAATGGATGCAGACGGCATCAGCATAGCTGAAGCTGTTTGATGGTTGTCTTGAACCGAACAAGACTCGTAAACAACGAACAACACCCACAGCACATGTGTGTTGACCGCAGACTACTCTGCATTACCCACTACTGGAACGATGGAAGTCGTTCGACCACACGGTGCCTACCAAGTAACCAGCTCCGCTCCCAAACAAGCGGTTAACAGTGATGAGGATCGTACACTACCTACAGGTTTTATGGACTCTTATGTGAACTCCAGTCATGCGCTTGTTCTTTACTGTTCTTCAGTGAGCCTTTCAGACCAACGTGAAATATGCACACCTCGGTTGACCAAACACCAAACAAACAACTCCGCCAACGCCTGAATGCGGATCCGGTTCACTCTACTAACGATCACGAAAGCGGGATATCCAAAACTATGTGCAGTGCCCTAGCTTCCACCTCTTCTAAGCATTAAGTCTCTAGTAGGACCGCCAATTTTCTGGGGGTCCGGAGACGGATCCCCGTAGGCACAGTCAATCAAACTTTTCGCACCCGATTCCAGGTATAAATGGGGGCCCGGGAATCCTGATCAGTCCTGTTTATTCATGATGATGATGATGATGATGATGATGATTTTTATATTCGCACACTTGAAGCAAGCAGGTCAACAATTGGGCGAGATGGCTCACTGTTTATACCGCGAATTTACCAACCGGACGTTCCGTAGTTCGATCTCGATCTTTGCCTCTCGAATTCCCCTGTCTAGGCTTGGGCAACATGGCAGCTGGTCACCGAAAGTGTGTTACAGTTGAATGATTTTTATTTGTTTTCATTAGGGCAACAATTGGCTCTCGCTCGTATTGTCGGTTTTCTCTACATTGATGTACGCTGCCAAGCAAGAATAAAGAACGGAAGTACTGTAACCTAATTGATTGCCTAAACTCTTCCAGATTCCGGCTGTGCTCTTTAGGTGATGTGGAAGCCGCCGCAGCAAGATATGCTGGTGTGGGTATTGTATTGAGCGACGAGGGGAATCGTCTCTACCTGATTGGATACCCGTTGGTAGTCGCGATTGGGTTGGATTTTTTGAAAGAATATCAAGAAGGTGAGGTCCATCGCACCTGTGCAAGTGTGGGTATAACCCGACCTGAAGCTGCCACCTTGACGTGGTGGTCGGGCTTGAGTACTACAATATTCTCGCGGGCTACACTGGCTGGAACTTTGTTCCACAAGGTGCAACCATGCCAGGAAGCCCAAAGTTGAGCTATCAGACCAAGAGCACTGAGATCCCGCACTACGAGGTGGTCTGGGGGTAAAGTCGTACTGCCCTCTGTAATAGGACTGTAAAGGCAGTAAAATACTTCCCACCAGACGATCAGCATGTCCATATTTATGGAAGCAGCGATGCTGCCTTCCCCCGAGGAAGGACGGGTTAGGAAAGGTCGGCCTTAAAAACCTCACAATCCGGTCGCCCAATGGTTGACCGTGAACCCCGGCGCATTATTCGAATAAAAAATAAATCGTTCTGCTGTAACACCCTTTCGGATGCCTAGCTGTGATGCAACCCGAAGGAAGCACGAGGGCTGAAGTACTGCGAGGTTGCCCAAGCCTAGACAGGGGAAATCGAGAGGCAGAGTTCGGGTTCGAACCACGGACCTTCCGGTCAGTAAATTTACGCTCTAACCACATAGCCATCTCGCCCCTAAAAGGAAAATGAATCGTTCAGGTGCATTATTCAATACGGTCGAAATAGTTCCGAAACCAAGTCCGATGCTGCTCAAAAGGCACCTGCTATGTGCAGCTGCATCAGAAATGAGACAGTAACGTCTTATTCTCTGCACACTCGGGTTAGGTCAACCGTCTGCAGCCGAGCAGGTCGGACTGTTGAGTGCAGCTGCATAATGAGACAGTAACGTCTTATTCTCTGCACACTCGGGTTAGGTCAACCGTCTGCAGCCGAGCAGGTCGGACTGTTGAGTCATCGCCTCCGGGAAGGGTTCCCAAAGAAAGCGCTACCCTCCGCTGCCTCTTGGGTCAGACTTGCATCAGAGGCTAGGGGCAGGGTCCCCAAAAAAACCCTACGTCCTCCCACTACCTTGTGGGTCAGACTTGTGAGTCAAAGGCTCAAGGTGGGGTACCTCAACCAAACCCCCTTCCTTGGCCTGGGCAACCGTGAAATATCATTTGCCCATGCAGTTCAGTTCGGTGCGATGTCCCTCTCAACCCCTTCCGACCACACAAGCAAACGTCACTGGGTCATTTGACTGTCAGTTATCTGACAAAAGGGGAGGGGCCTTCTCGCTACCTAATAACAGTAAACAAATTAACACCCTTCTAAATCCACGAAATGTTCTCTATATGAGAGCTTTCAACGTCCGTACTCTATGTCAAATTGGCAAATCGGCAGTTCTTGCTGAGACCTTGTATTCCCTTAAAATTGATGTATGTTGTGTCTCCGAAACGCGCATACAAGGCCCGAGCGTTAGTACACATCTCAGAACGCCAAGGATGAGCTCATTTCTCCATCCACGTGTCCGGTGACCCAGAAGCGATGACTCGTGGAATATATCGCGTTGGAGTTTTATCCAGCCACAGAGTTAAACGTGCTTTGCTGGATTGCATCTCACTGAACGGTCGTCTTTGCGTCATCCGGTTATCCATATCAATCAAGCTCAGTGTCTCTCGGCATAAAAAGCGGTGCCTGTTCGTTGTGTCGCCTTATACCTCAAAGGACTGCAGTTCTGATTCGGAGAAGGATACTTTCTATCGAGAGCTATCCGGGCTCATTCGTCAGGCAAAAAGCACTGACAGTGTGGTTCTTGCAGGTGATTTGAATGCTCAAGTAGGTCGTCTGAGCTTCCTGAAACACATTTAGGCAGTCGATTCGGAGTCGATGCCCGCCTCATAGACAACGGAGATCGACTCCTCAGTTGTGTGCTGATCATGAACTTTTTCTGGCAAGATTGCCACATGGATCAGTGGTTAGAGCGCGAATTTACCGACCGGAAGGTCCGTGATTAGA